TTCTTTTCCTTCTTTATTTATATACATATAAGGACAAATTCGACAAAATGTTCATTAAGTTTAAAATTTTAAGCAAAAAAGAACTCCACAAAAATAAAGCTTTTTTTACGGCAAATGGCCATTCAGCATTTTTATGTTACAAAATTTGGCCAATTTTCTTCTTCTTCGTTCTTCTAGTACTGTTCTTCTTCTTCACTCTTCGTTCGTCATTCTTCTTATTAAAAATTTGAAGTATCACAAATTTGAATTGTTTCGGGTAAATTATAAATCAAAAGATATAAAATATCGAGAAAATTTTATATCAAAAATTTGAAATAGTTTAGAGGTAATTTTGAGTTGATCGAGATTGAATAGTTAATAGATATTTTATGTATATTTGGTGTATACTTCATGAATAGTTAAGTTATATTCAGCTTTTTAAGTATATTATAATGTATAGTCATTGTACAACTCATGTATAAGTAAGCCATGTTGCATAATCCATGTATACTTTCTGTGACTTTTGGCAAGTTATATTCTATAGTTGGTATACTTTCTCACGATTTTTGACTATTTTTGTGTAAATAAAGTATGACTATATTTATTAATAAACTAATTACTTTATTGTATATATTTAAAATTGATCCGAAACACTACAAAAAAACTGCTAAATTGTGGCGGTTAATTTATAGGGGTCATAACAAACCCCTACTACACATTCAATTTGTGGCGTTTGTGCTAACCTCTGTAAAATAATTCATTTTATGGCGGTTTAAGTGTGGAGGTTGCAAAAGACCTCCTCTATAAATTCAATTTGTGGTGTTTGTGCCAACCTCAGCAAAATAATTCTTTTTATGGCGGTTTAAGTGTGGAGATTGTAAAAGACCCCCGCTATAAATTTCAATTTGTAGCATGTGTTTCAACCTCCTCAAAATTATTCTTGTTGTGGCGATATTCTTGTGGGGGCTCTTGCACTACAAATGAATAGAACGATCCTGGCGATTTATTTCACATATAACGACGGCTTATAATTAACAATCATAATTTTTTTGCTATTGATAAATGACTTATGTAATTTTTGTTACGGTGATTTAAAATCGACATAGAATGTTTATTTTATATAATATTATCACAGTATGAAATAATATTTTAACAAATTTGACCCTAAACAATCAACAATCATGTAGTCACAAATTTAGATCCTACTTTGCACTTTTTATGAAATCAATAAACATTCATAATAATTTTAACCCTTTAGCCTCATTTGTATTCATTAAGATTAAGACGTCTGAATCTGAATGCACATCTGAATGATTAAGATCTTATTTGGTTTGTGAATGAAACTAACATGTAACAAAAAAATAAAATAAATGAAGTTAATAAATATTTCATTCTCAAGTCCTTATTTTTCCATTTCCTCAATTTTGTCTATATAAATTCATATTTACTTTATGAGGATTCAAATACAAAATTATTATTTCTCTTCTTTATCATATTTGTTTGTGAATTAACTAACATGTAACAAAAAAGAAGTACACAAATGTAAGAGGTATTTCATTCTCAAGTCTTTCTTTTTATTTCTATGTACTTAGACATGCTTTTTTTAATTTTTTTTTTTTTTTATGTTTGTATTATCATTCATCAAGCAAGTATGATTTAAAAAAAATGACTTTGTAATTGTTAACAATGACGTATTGTAAGTATGCAATTATTCTTTCTAATAGTCAATTTTCCGAATATAATATAATTTGATAATAATATTTGTTAGATTTCAAGAAATGATTATTATGTAGTATTGTTAGTACTATTGAAAAAATAATGTACAAATATATTACATATAATTTTATTTTTTTTCTTTTGATATAATTATTTTAAATCAGTATATGCTATTTTATTTATTTATTTTTTATTCAATTGATTTTATATTATGAAGAGTTTGACATATGGAGCAAAATATGATGGCGGATCTAATTGCAAATGAAGATGATAGAAGAGGAAAAAATGGAGCATAATTAGAGATTATTTTTGCTAGATTTTTTTTTTTACTTTGACTTGTATTAGTAACTTAGCTACTTTGCTAGAATTTTTTAAATTTTGGTTTGTATAAATAATCTAGGTAAATGTATTGTCAATGCTAATCATTTGATCCTTTACTATTCTACTTTTTCTTTGTTATGAAGCACGATTAATATAATTATCCTATTTCAACAACAAAAAAAAATTTATGATGATTAGGAGTTTCATTTTATTATACTTGCAAAAAAGCAATTGAAAAATAAAATGTTAGTTTCATGATGCAATTTTTTTAGCGTACGTAACAATTTGTTTCTGTCACCGTTCTTTTTGTTTGAAATGTATTTATAATTTTTATGCAGTCACCAATTATTATTATTATTATTATTTTGTTAATTTTTTGTATTTTTACCCCTTATTTTCATTTATTTATTTTATAAATAAAATCAATGCATAAGTGTTAATACACTTAATGTCTAATAAAATAATACATTTGAATTATTTATAACGCATGACACTTCATCTTACTTGTAACTTATAATATTAAATATTATTCATAATTTTGTATGTTTCATTTTTTATAATTCTTATAAATATTTAATTAATGTTTAAAAAACTATAATAAACAATTGTAATAATAAAGATCACATAATAAAATATTTAAATTTTTTTACTAAGAGTTTGTATAGAAAATTAGTACTCCTATAAAAGATATAGAAAATTAAAAAACATATAAAATATTTTCAACGTAATACAATATATTGTTAATTTCAACTTATTACCTCTTATTCCATTTAGTCCACCACGGTGAATATTTTGTTCTACTATATACATATGAATAGTTTGCACTTAAAAAAAATGTAAAAAAAATAAAAAATAAAATAAATAAAAAATAAAAAATAATATATATATATATATATATATGTTTTAAAAAAAATGTATGATATCGCAAATGAAGAGAAATATCGATATTATCTTATATATTCAATACTAACCTAAATATAAATATTACATATAAATAATTCATATAGTCGCGCGAAGTACGGAGTAAAATTATAATTCAAATAAAAGAGTAGTTAAGCATTACATTAATAAAATATTAGGAAAAAAATCATTTTTTGATAAACATTAAGATATGTGAAGTATAAATAATTTTTATAATTTTGATAAAAATGAAATGGAACTACATGACTATTTTTAAATGTGCTCCTATTTAAATAATAGTGAAGATAAAAATTAAAGAGAGGGAAAAGTTTAAACAAAATTTACGTAGGGTTTTTTGTTTCCCTCGCTTTTAACCTAGTAACGCATTTATTCCCTCCATGTTTCCACCAACACCATTTTCTGAAGCTTTCCCTCCATCTTCCCACCTTACCCTCAATCTTCCCACTTTCCCCTGTCCTCCACATTTCTTGGTGACAAAACTTCCCTTCCGAGAGCTATAAATTTCCCTATAATCCATTTTGGAGAGATGGAATCAGATGGTAGCATCAGGTCAGTTTTATTTTACTTCAACTAAATTTCTTCTAAGTTTACATTTTGCTTTCATCCATATTGTTGGGCACACGTTATTTGCTTTATATTGGGATTTATTTTTACTGCCAAGCTTTATTGATATTGTGACATCGCTAAATTTTTTGATTTTCTGCGTATTCGAGTGGTATTAAACAGATTCCCTTTGTCAATTACATGATATTACCGTGTCATCTCAGAACTTGTTCATATTTGATTCACCTCTCTGTTCTTTATGAATATGCAGTCATGCCAAAGATTAAACGTTTTAAGAATCCACTAAAGTCAGCTAATGGACATGTTTCATCATCAACTACTCCAGTGGCACGAGACCTCCCAGTTGCTTCAACAAATCCCTCACAAGCTGATGGAGTCCCACAACAAGAACAAACTCCAATTCTCCTGCAGCACGAACAACCTCCAATTGCCCTGCAACAAGAACAAGCTCCAATTCTACCTTCTAATTCAAGTGCAACATCTCTGCACCCACGTCCATCTGCACGTTATTGGAGAGTAGAGGCTAAAGGTATATATTTCTTATGTCATTTTTAGTTCAACTTATGAGTATCTTTTTTTTTCTTTTTTGGTTAAGTAACTGATTTTTTTGTTAAAGATTCAGAAAACGCTATCAAGCAGATTAATGTCAAGGTTAATGAGGTTAATAATCTAACTGTTGGAGAGCGCATCATTGTGGACTTTGACGCATACAATTCAGCATATGGTGATGCACAGGGACTGCTCGCTGGATATTGTGGATCATTGGCAATTGATTGTAATTTGTTCCCGATTAGTTTTGAGAGGTGGTCAGGGCAATCAGGCATGCCTAAGAAGTACATGGAAGACTGCTTTGAAACAATATTGAAGGTACAAGTGTTCTTGCATATATATGCACACACTTTTCGAAAGATTTTAGAATACATGAGAAAACTAACTTCTATTTTTTATTTAAAGCCTCGATTTCTTTTTCGGGTATGTGAGTCCATTGCATACAGATACTGCAATAGTAGCATTTCAAAAAAGTGGGCTACACATAGGCAGAGATTGTGGAATGAATATTTTGACCCTGCAAGAAGCAAAAATGAGATCATTAGTAATGTGCCATCTGGTATAAATAAAGATCAATGGGCTAGTTTTGTTGCTTACCGTCTGAAACCATCAACAATGGTAAGATTCTGATTATGTTAATAAGTTTTGTTTCATCATAATTATATAAAGATGAACATTTTGAGTTGTCGATGTTATTGTTGATAGGAGCTTTGTAGAAGAAATAAGGAAATCCAGAGGAAGCAAAAAATGCCACACACTGGTGGTTCAAAGGCTAACTCGAGAAGACGTTATGAGATGGTATGCGCATTTATTTGGTTTGAACGAGCAATTTGGGATTCCTGGAGTAGATTGCAAGTACAACAAAATTTAAAGGTATTCCTGCATTAGGGGGATTTCTTTTGGAGGTATACTCTAACTTGTCCCTGTTAATTTCTTTTTGTTACTTATCAATGGATAAATCATGTATTGGAAAGCCACAGACCTCAAATGAATACTTGCTTGGTTTGGATAAATTTCTTGATTTTGCATTTAAAAATGCGGCTGTGGATGATACAATCAGATGCTCATGTCCCATGTGTTGTTTTGGCAAGTGGAAAACTAGAGACGAAGTGCAGGATCATTTGGTTTGCAAGCCATTCCCTCAAAATTATGTTATTTGGAATATTCATGGTGAGAAAAAGTTATTAGAGTCTTCTGGAGATAGAGTTGTTATGCAAGAGACGTTCCGTCCAGAAAATCCAATAAAAACAATGATTAGTGACGCATTTGGGCAGTATAGGCACCAATCGGCTGATGTAGGAACATCTCAACCATTTGGTTCAACTGAAACATCAAATGAGGGGCATAGGGAGGATACTGGTGACTTTCGCGACTTTCTCAAAGATGCAAGTGAAACACTGTATGAAGGGAGCAAGTATACAAAGCTAGAGTTTTTAATAAAATTGTATCATATAAAGGTCTATTGTCGATTAAGTGACAAGGCAATGACCATGATACTAGATTTATTGAGAGATGCATTTGAAGATGCAAAGTTACCTCCTTCTTTTTATGAGGCCAAAAAAACAATTAGCAAACTTGGCCTTGACTACACCAATATACCAGCATGTCCAAATAATTGTATGTTATTCTGGGAAGGTGATTCTGAATTGGAAGCATGTAAGCATTGTGCTACATCTAAATGGAATCCTAACAAGAAAAACAAGCAAGCTGCAAAGGTTTTGCGTTACTTTCCATTGAAACCAAGGTTGAAAAGGTTATTTATGTGTCGCAAGACTGCTGAGCATATGAGATGGCATGCTTTGGACAATAACTCAGATGGGTTGATGAGGCATCCAAGGGATGGTGAGGCATGGAAGACATTTGATCGAACTCACTCTGGATTTGCTTCTGATCCTCGAAACGTTCGGTTGGGCCTCGCTAGCGATGGCTTTAATCCTTTTGGAATAATGAGTACTACCTACAGTATTTGGCTAGTCTTCTTGATTCCGTACAATCTTCCTCCTTGGATGTGTATGAAGCACACCTCTTTCATCTTATCAATGATCATTCCAGGCAAGCAGATGCATGGAAATAATATAGATGTGTACTTACAGCCTCTTGTGAAGGAATTGTGTGAGTTATGGAATGATGGTGTTGAAACGTTTGACTCATCATTGAATGAAACTTTCAGAATGCATGCAGCTCTTATGTGGACAATTAGTGACTTTCCTGGATTAGGTATCCTCTCTGGCTGGAATACACATACTGGTTTTGCTTGCCCAACTTGTAACTTTGACACAGAACCTTGTCGTCTTGTTCATAGTAAAAAGTGGTGTTTTATGGGTCATCGTCGTTTCCTGAGAAGAAATCACAGGTTCAGATTCAACCGAGTGCGCTTCAATGGAAGCACAGAGGAGCGGAATCCACCAATAAAACTATCAGGATCTGACATTTTGAGACAAATTGCAGAAGGTAAAGGAGCAAAGTTGGATGGTAAAAGGAAAAGATCTAAACGAGCAACTAAACAATGGAACAAGAGAAGTATATTTTTTGAACTTCCTTATTGGCAATCTAACTTGTTGCGTCATAATCTAGATTTTATGCATATTGAAAAGAATATATGTGACAATATCATATATACGTTGCTCTATGATAAATCAAAATCAAAAGATAATGAAAATGCCCGAAAGGATCTAAGAGAAATGGGCATAAGGCGTGATCTTTGGCTGAAGGATAATGGATCATATAACCTTGATGTGTTTTCACTAATGACTGATAGCAAAAAGAAGGTGGATGATATACCGTGAGTTTACGGTATTTCTAATACATTTCACTTACAAGTTGTGTGTGTCTAGGGCCTTTTTATATTGGTTTTTATGTATTTTATCATGTTTTGCAGGAAAGGTGTTCAGGCACGGAAGTTTAGAGACAGCTGAAGGAAATGCAGAAAAAGGCATCCACGGAGGTCATCTACGGACCGTAGGTCCATTCACGGTCCGTAGGTGATGACCGTAGATCAGCAGGAATGTGTTGAGGACAAATCAGGGAAATCTGACCAAGGGTGGAACCACGGTACCCATTGACGGTCCGTAGATCGTACTGTTGATCCGTAGAGTGAGACTGCGAGGGTTCCAGTACCTGATTTTTGAAGATGTTAAGTATGGAGCTACGGAAGGGATTGACGGACCGTAGGTCGATCTACGGTCCGTGCTGCTGGTCCGTCGTTTGCTTCAGAGAAGCTGATTGTTGGATGCTGAAATATTTTCTAAGTCCCGAGTGACGGAAGGGACTTACGGACCGTAGATCCATCGACGGTCCGTAAGTCAGTCTCGTGGATCGAAGACGCGTACCTGAACAAAACTTTCCTTAATTTGTTTCCTTTTTTATTTAGGATTTGTTTTCTATAAATAGGAGATGTAAACCTCATTTTTGGAGGTTAGACACTATTATTCTATTTTTGCTTTGTAACTTTGGAGATTAATTTGCAACCCTAGCAATTATTGATTTCCCAAGTTCGTTTTGAAGATTTTGGCTTTGCAATTCAAGTTAATTTTCTGGGTTTATTATTCTCTTTACGTAAGTTCATGATTTCTCCATCTACAATTATAAATTGTGTTCTTGCTAATATGAGTAACTAAATCCACAACTAGGGTTGTGGGAACCATGATCAATTAACAAAGTATGAATAGTAAATAAGTAATTCTTAACTAGTATTTTGCATGCATTGATAATTCTTTCGTTTAGAAGTCTTTTTAACGGTGGCCAACGTTAGAACTCGCCTTGTTACTACTTGCCGGACCAAGGAGGTAATTAACAATAAAAGACTTATCAACATAGATTTAGTGTGATACTATCTAATAGGCTAGTGTCGATTGGTGCGAAGTAATAACTAAGCCAAACATCGATTATGATGTCTAATATGAGGTAAAGGTAAGGGTTAGTAAATTATACACACGTAGCCGGACCAAGGTGCGGGGTGAAATTCTCTAGATGCCGGACCAAGGATTTAGAGATACCTAACTTATCACTTTGCATGTAATACACTAGAAAAGGATTGCTATTACTAGGATTACTGCGTTATGAGATTATGGGAAACACGCGTACCCTAGTTATTTCTCTTATCTTGATAACAACCAAAGTTGAATTTAATTATTGATTACAATATTAAGTCTTACTATTTGTTTTACACAAGCACAACCCCCCTTTTTATTACCTGTTTCTGGAAATAATTTGACTAATCGAATATAATTGTTGGTTAAAAGTAAAGTCTAAACCATTTTCCTCGTGGGATCGAACCCAACCTACAAGTTGGGTTCTTTACTTGATAACGATCGCTTATGCTTCTGAAAGGAGGTGTAATTTGAGCGTATCAGTGGACACCAAAAAGTTGTTTCTTACAACTTTAAAGAATATTAAAGTACCAGATGGCTACTCAAGTAACATCTCCAGATGTGTAGATTTGGTACAAAAAAAGATTTTTGGGTTGAAAAGTCATGATAGTCATATTATTTTAGAGCAATTTCTACCACTGGCAATTCGTAATGTATTGCCTGACCATGTAGTTACTGTTCTGGTGGAATTCTGCTCATTTTTCAGAGCCATCTCTAGCAAAACCTTGAATATTTCAGAGCTAGATATTCTTCAAGAGCGCATTATAATCACACTTTGTCACTTAGAGATACTATTTCCTCCATCATTTTTTACAGTAATGGTTCATTTATCTGTTCATTTAGTAGAGGAAGCAAAACTCGGAGGTCCAATGCATTACCGAAACATGTATCCTGTGGAGAGGTAAAATATTAACCTTCTATTATAAATATGTTTGTTTTCTGGAAACATTAACATTTCTAAATTAAAGATATTTATGTTATGATCACTTGAAATATATAGTTTGTACTCTTACTGTCTCTTCTTTTTCTAGGGAATTAGGTCATTTTAAGCCCTTTGTACGGAATAAATCACAATCAGAAGGTTGTATAGCTAAGGGTCACATAGCTGAAGACACTCTTACCTTTTGTTCTTACTATATGGAGGATATTGAAACAAGGTTCAATAGACGTAGGCGTGTCCGTGATGATCCAAACTACATTCAGCCTTCTGGAATGTCGACTATCTTCCCTCAGCTAGGTAAACCTGCATCAGCTCCAGAAAATTACCATTTAGCTCCTATGCAGAAACTACAAGCTCATCGATATGTGCTTTTGAATTGTTCAATAGTCACACCATTTGTGGAGTGAGTAACTTTTAAACTTTATGTTTTTTTGTTGTTGTAATGTTTGCAGTAGGATAGTCATTCTATTTAACATTAATTTTCTTATTTCATATAGAGAATTTAGACAACACATAAGGAGGAGTTCACGAGGAAGAAGACCTTCACCTACAGAGATAGAGAGGAAAGTTAATAAAGAATTTGTAGATTGGTTCCAAAAACGGGTGAGTAAACAATCATTTGCTACTATTTATATTTGGTCTGAATGAGAAAATTTGATGAAGTAGGTTTTTTAAATTTAGATTATGAATCCAGACTCAATAGACACAATGTCTACTGATCTAAAGTTTTTAGCACGAGGTCCATCTGTAAATGCAAGAAGATATACTGCATATAATATCAATGGGTCTAAATTTCGAACTTTGGCTCGAGAAGAAGGTCTGAAAACACAGAATAGTGGAGTTTTCTTAACCTCTAAAACATCATGTGTTGCAAGTAGCTCTGATGGAAATTTAAGGCAAGCGGAGATACCATATTATGGGAAGTTAGAAGATATTATAGAGATCAATTATAATGGACGATTCAAGGTTGTTCTTTTCAAATGTAAATGGGCTGATACTACTCGAGATAGAGGGTATCAAAAGGATCGTTGGAATTTTAATTGTGTTAATTTTGATAAACTGATTCACACGGGTGAACGTGAAGAACATGAGCCTTACATCGAAGCATCTCAAGCACAACTGGTGTTCTATGTGGATGATATTGTCAATAAAGGTTGGAGTGTTGCTGTGCATCTAAAGCCAAGAGATATGTACGATATGGGAGAAGTAATAGAAGAAGAAGTATATGAGAATGAACCATACCAAGAGCAAGAACTTGAACAGTTTTATGTTGATGGTGATGACTATGTACAACTAGCTACAGATCATATAATTAATGATATAGTAGATCCAAATGTTGCTACTGACCTAGCAACAAATGCAATGTCTAAATGAGTTATGTCTTTATTGTTGATGTAGTTAGACTCGAAGAGGTGATGTTTGGGAGGCTACTGACATGATGCAACACTTCATTTGTAATTTGTAATGTTTGTCACTCTAGTTATTTTTTATGAAATTTGATTCATGTTATTATTTTATTAATCCTGTAATTTGATTTTAAATAGAAATTTTTTTTCCAGCAATAACATTCTAGTATTTGGTGGATATAAACTGCCACTAATTACTTTTTAAATTTATTTATTTCTATGATTAAATTGCTAATAAAAAAATTCAGCAACAGAAATATTGTGGCGGAATTAAACTGCCACTACTATTTTAAAAAAAAAAACATTCATATCATATTGTAGCGGTTGTAAATCCCCACATTCAAGAATTGAAATTATATTGTGGGGGTACTGTAGACCCCAACAATATATTATTTTGGAGCATTGTGATTATATTGCGGGGGTTTATAAACTCCTGCAAAAAAAAAATAAATTGAAACATTGATATCATATTGTGGAGGTTTATAAACTCCCACGAATGTATTTTTTGAAATATTGATATCATTTTGTAGAGGTTATAAACTGCCACTCATTATCCATAAAACCCCCCACAAATTCACAATTCATTTTGTGGCGATCATCGTGGAGGTTTCATAAAAACGCCACAATTATGCTCGTGGCAACAGTAATTGTGGCATTTTCAAAAAACGCCGCAATTTTTTTTGTCGCGGTCAGAAACCGTCACAAATTGTCAAAAAATCTGCCACAATTTACCTGTTTTTTTGTAGTGGTTGAAAATTATTCAAATTGTCATAGAGAGTTTCAAACAACAGCTTCAAAATTTCAAATTTCAAATTGCATGTCTAAACACATACAATTACAAGTTTATAAGTGCAGTTAGCAGTAAACCATAAGAGATCATTTGATAGAATGCATAAGAATAGTATTGGATAGGACGTATTAGTAATTCTGAGATTGATTATGTTGTAATTATTTCTTATCCGTTGGTTGATTTGGTGTATTACTCCCTCCGTTCAACAATAGTTGTTCACTATACAATTTTGGAATGTCCAACAATACGAATCCACTTTATGAAACCAATGGATAATTTTACACTTAGGGGTCGTTTTGTTGGGACAAGTTATCCTAGGATTAATCATCTCGGGATAGTTATCCTGGGATAACTTATCCCACCATGTATATGGGATAACTTACTCCATCACTATGGTATAAATGGTGGGATAAGTTATCCCAAAATGACAATCAAACAAGACACCAAACTTTTATTCCAGATTTTTTTTTTATCTCAGAACTATTTATTATTATTCCTCACACTAAACAACCCCTTAATTTCTAATTTACCCCTATCTTTATTTATAGTCATTTTTCTATTACATTTTCCAAGATATTGTATTTATTATATTCAAATTGTGATATAATAAAATCACACTTCTATTTATAATTTCTTAAAAAGTGTGCAAAATTAATAGTGGACAAGTATTGTTGAACAAAGGAAGTAATACTTATTCATGTATTAATGACCCTTATATTACTAATACCATAATTTGACTTGTATTAATTATACACCTGGTAATTTCATTATCTAATACATCCTACTAAACAAACCCTCCCTCGGTTTCAAGCTGTTGGTAATAAGTAGTGCCGGAAAAATGAGCTCATATTTTGATAACCCGTTCAATTCGTCCATATTTTAATGGGTTGGGTGAGTGACTTTTTACATGAGTAAAATATGGGTTGATACCCATATTCAACCCATAAAAATATGGGTCAAATATGGGTAAACTATGGGTAAAATATGGGCAAGATATGGATTAGCCAAATGGGTTAAGATTCTAACCTTTATTAACTCAAAATTCATTAACTTCTCTTCCTTTTGATGTTCTTCTATAGAACTAATTATTTTTCTGTACAATTGAAAAAGTGAAGTCTTTGGCCCTCCAAAAATATATATTTTAAATGTATATTTCTTTTGTTAATTATAATTATATTTTTTTATTTGTTTAATCTCATATTGGATAATAAATAATAGTGTAAAATAAGCAAATCATGTATTAATATTGACATTGCTTAAAGTGCATTAAACATGTTTTAGTTAGTCCTAAAATACAAATATTCATTTACTTTGAAATTAAAAATATTTTTCCCCTTATTATTACATAAATTTATTTTATATTGAAAAGTTTTAGGATTTTTTCTTTTTACTTTTATGATATAATAAAACTAAATAAAGTATTTTCAACATTTTTCATCTAAAAAAAACTCAAATATTTTCTCCATGTTGAATTCTTAAGTAGAAAGGCAGCAGCCCTCGACCCAATCATTCAATTCGCTCCAACAGAAGCGACAATACCAACCTACAGGTTGCACTTCTATGTGCTGAAAGTCATATATAGCTGAATGAAATATACAATGCTAGTACGAGCTCTCATATTCATGAGAATGAGACTATGACTGCTTCAATGGAGCTTAATGAGTTAAAATGAGGCTTCACAGTTTAATCATTATTATATTGTCATCAGAAGTAATCAGCAACCTTATTATGATTACACTTATTCCCAGGTGTATAGTACCATCTCCAACCCTAACACTAAATTTTACACTAAATCTTAAATTTTGTGTGTAATAATGTTACACCACTATTCATCACACCAATTCATTTTTAAATATTTTAATATTATTTCATTATACAAACTTTTAATTAAACATTATATAACTTGTATGTTTTAATTAAATCTCTTATATATTTAATTATTTTTTATGTAATATTTTTATAATATTAATTTTAGATATAAAATTTAGCTTTTTTATAAATTAATTTTTATATATATGACTTTTTTTTTAAAAAAAAATTATGTTAATTCTACTATAAATTATAAATTAACCTTCACAAAAATTAAAAATGCAAACATTGCTCATTTTGAACTACGTAATGCATTAATAGAGCATTTATGGAAGCACTGTAGTGATCTTGAAAGTTGATTATTTATGTAGAATTTAAAATAATTTTTTCAATTATGTAATGTTTAATTAATTGTATTTCATTAATGATTTCACTCTTATTTGTATTAACCATTTTTATGTATAATGTATAATATTTGCTAGCAATTTATATTATTTAAAAAATTATGGTACAAAATAATTTTATATTAAACGATTATAAAAGAAAATAATATGAATTATATATGGTGAATGTTTTAGAAATAATTTGTTTTATGAAATAAGAAATCATATATATATATAGCGCCACCACAAACCAGAATTCCCTTTTAATTTATTTATCTACAAAACAACCCTTCCCCTTTCATGAAAAGTTGTAAAATTTATGAAAAATTGTGACTTTTATGAAAAGTTGCGACTTTAATTAAGAGTTGTACCTTTTATGAAAGGTTGTGACTTTTAAGAAAAGTTGCGACTTTAATAAAGAGTTGCGACTTTTATGAAAAGTTTTGACTTTTATGAAAGGTTGTGATATTTCCGAAGGGTTGCAACTTTTCCAAATAGTTATAACATTTCCGATAAGGCACAATAAACATTTGTTCACACGACCCTTTATTGTCTATAAATAGAGGGATTTCCTCTCATTTTAAAACAACGAAATTCTAAACCTCTTCTTCTTCTTCTTCTTCACAATTAAATATTTGTGTACTTTGCTCATGTTGAGTGGCACACTGACACCATTGATTATGTCACAAATCCTGGTATGTATTCTTACTGTCATTAAGTTATGCTTCTGTTATTAAGGATAAATGATAAGATGTAATAATTTTTATTTTCCTTTACATTATTAATGACTGATAGGTTTAAATATTATTTTATAAATTTCATGATATTAAATTTCTGCGCGAAGCGCGGTTAATTTTACTAGTAATAATATAATAATGAAGAGAGAGAAAAATATTCCTTTTTGGTATAAAATTTGATGCAGTGAGTTGGAGTTGATTACACCAAAAATAGTGTTGACACCAAATTTGTTGTTTGGGTTGGAGATGCTTCAAAATCTTGTCTTGAAATGGAAATTAGGCAAGAATAAATGGGCATCAACATTTAAGTAACTGATCTAACATTAATCATAACTTTATATATCCAAGATAAGACAACTATTGCACAACCATGATCCATACAATTAAAAGAGCTGAGAATAGCATCAGACAATTTTTTTATGATAGAAATGGTACTTCATATGATTGTTGGTATGAACGGATTATACAACCTAAAGTGCTTCCCAAAGCAAAACCCGGGAGCTCATAAATAGAAATCGCTCCCAATAGAGTAATGCATTATCTCTATATTGCATAAATTATAAGTGAACAGAAAACAGCTGCTGCAGTGTTCAATCATAAATGCGGGAGTATGGAGGATAATGTAACCAAAAAACTATTTACTGTAGAGAGAGCTCATCTACCCAAAATGTTCAGTCAAAACTGAATCAATAGGAAAAGATCCTATAGTAGCTCAAAACACTTGGCTATGAACCATGCGTTACAGAAATCCAACAGTCAAATTGACCTCTGAGCCTGTCAAGTGTGAACCTATTGGCCTAAGTGAACACAATTATCAACAATTCTATCCTCTTTTGCTAGTAACATAAAGCTTATCTTAGTATGTGTGCACCTTCCTCAGTATTCAACAAATAGCTTCACAAGTGTGTATCGCCACTTTTATACAATGTTGTGATACAGAACACAGTCAAAATAAGAAAGCGGGAAATTGTATGCTCTGAAATGGTGTCCTATAAAATTTCTGTAGAACGCATAGCCCACTGAGACACTTGATAATTTTTCTGATTTGTGTAGTCCATAAGACGAGAAGCTTTAATGAAAAACTTGAGCTGATGCATAGTACTCACTTTCATTAAACACAGGTCTTAAATCTTCTTTGCACATAAAATCCAAGGGGAAGGAAACAAGATGACCTTTCGCAGATTTTAATCTCTCCATGGGATCTATACTCTCGATATCTCCACCCTGATAAGATTCAAGCTTGCTTGGAGCTATTCCTAAATCAATGGTTGTATGACCAAGTTTTTCTTTTGAGAATACCATGCATTGTCGGAGTGAAACCCTGCATGACATCAGAGGAGAATATGAGATCAAAAAAAGAAAGAAGGAAAAACAAAGACAAAATGGATCGAGAAAATGATGGCAGCTAGCAATACCTGGATTGCATCAGATCGTTGGGTATGCAAGAAAAAACATCTTGGTAAATCATGGTATTTGTCTGACAATAACACCACAACCAAGCATCAGAAAAGGTTGACATATTAAAGCACACATGCAAAAAAATTGAGTGTCAATAATTCAGTTAGCAAATAATAGCTCGAAATTTTGAGTGTCAATAATTCGGTTTGTAAATAATCACTTGGTTGATTTTAAACCTATATAATAATATTTGTATGCAAAATTTAGAGGATTTGAATCATGAAAACTTCAAAGGAGCACTCCACCACACATACCCTAGCAGTTGCCATCCAAATATCCTTATACGTTGGATCAATCACAGGGTCCTTAATTTGACCAACCTAGCAAGGAACAACAATTAGTCAGTTGAAAACTCATTTAGCCTAGAGCAAAAGGCCTCAAGAGTAAATTAGCACCTCGCCTGAACGAAGACCAAGGTGCTCAGACCATAAAGAAAGGCGAAGAGTTAATGCAAATTTTCCCGCCTTCCTTGGCTTGCCTCCCATGAATGAATCAACAAACTCCTTGTCCTCAATAAGTACACCAATCTGAAATAAAATCACAATCCTACTGATCGGTAAAAGAAAAAGAGGAAGGGTAATAAAACATAATACAATGAGTATAACATAAGTCACTGGATACAACTCTAAACATCTAAGGTGACTCATAAATAATTCAGAGGTGGGACTGTCGGTAAAACTGTCAAAAGAGTGCAATAGAATAAATGAATACATATGATGCTGTCTTCCATAGTTATGATGCACAATGACGAGTCTTTAAGAACCGACTCGTTGACATAAATATTAAGCTGATCATCCTAGTGTAGGATTCTTTAAAAAGGAAATCAAACAATTTGCTGCCGTTAACTAAAACGGACAATTATATGTGAGGTTCAAGTATAGTATTTTGAAAAACTGATTCGGTAGTAAGTTGGAACAAAATTGGTGCAATAGCTTGTAATGGTTACAGAGATTTCATACAGCCTGCCCAACTGTTTGAGATCAACGCATAGCTGATTGACTGACTTTGGTTGTGAAGTAGACTAAATTCTTATAACAGACATTCTAACATCAACCCTTGATAAAAGATAGTTATAACATTTAATCACATCCCACAGTGCATCCATAACCAAAATGAATGTCACAATAATATCAACATTAGGCCTGAATCCACCCACCCCAAAAGGGGTGATATCAAAGTAATGCTGGGAATTTGCATGTATGTGATTGGACTGAGTAGAAAGTGGAACGACATAAATTAGCCAATTAACCTGCCATGGGGGATACTTTATTTAGCAATTCAGTAGCCTTTGTTGGTGGTATGAGAGACATGTTTGGCCAGCTGAAGAATTGATAGATTCTTGTACTCTTCATCATGGGAAGAGCAATTTACTCTCATCAAACAGACAGTGTTACCAAAGTTAGGATCTGACCACAACCCAATCATGCTATCTTGTGGAGAGTTGAACTTCAAGAAAAAATACTTCAAATTTGAAAGTTGGTGGCTGAGGGTAGAAGGGTTCAAAGAAAAGGTACGACAGTGGTGGGGAGCTTTTGTTGTTAAGGGGAGGCCTGACTATATTTTAGCTGAGAAACTGAAGATGCTAAAAGAAAAGTTAAAAAAATGGAGTAAAAATAACAGGGGCAATTGGAAACAAAGAAAGGGTGACATTTTAAACCAGCTTGCAGCTTTGGAGGTAATCCATGAACACAGAGCTCTCACAGATGATGAGGCAATGCAAAAATCAAACTTGGCTATAGAGTTTGAAGAAGTTGCAAGAAATGAGGAGATAGCTTGGAGACAAAGATCAAGAATACAATGGTTGAAACAGGGAGACAGAAATACAAAATACTTCCATAGGATAGCTACAGCTCACAAAAGGGTAAACTCCATAGATAACTTGAAGGTGGATGGTATGGAGGTGACAGATGCAAAGGAGATCAAAGAAGCTATTCAAAATTACTACAAGGACCTGTATAAGGAGGCAGAAGAGTGGAGGCCAGAATTAGGGTTACATGAAGCTACAAGGATATCTGTAGAAGAACAGGAGGAGCTACAAAGACAATTTGAAGAGGATGAAATCTTAGAAGGCATTAAATTGTGTGCTATGGAGAATGCACCAGGGCAGGATGGATTCCCTATGTCCTTTTATTTGGCTTTCTGGGAACTTATGAAGGAGGACATCCTGAAGACTCTCCAATATTTTTATGAATATCAGAAATTTGAGAAAAGCCTTAATGCAACATTTATAGCCTTGATCCCAAAGAAGGTTGGAGCTTCAGAGTTGAAAGATTTCAGACATATAAGTCTCATAGGTGGAATATATAAAATTGTGGCAAAGATACTGGCTGAAAGACTCAAGAAGATGGTTAACAATTTAGTTAACAAGCATCAGATGGCATTTATAAAAGGAAGACAGATCATGGATGCAGCCCTAATTGCTAGTGAGTATGTGGACTCAAGACTTAAAGGGGCAGAAGCAGGTGTCATGTGTAAGCTAGACATAGAAAAAACCTATGGTCATGTCAACTGGAGATTCTTGTTGAATACTCTCAGACAAATGGGCTTTGGTGAGAAATGGTTGAAATGGATTGACTTTTGCATTAAAACTGTCAAGTTCTCTGTTTTGGTGAATGGTGAACCTGTAGGTTTTTTTGGTTATGAAAGGGGTCTTAGACAAGGTGACCCTTTGTCTCCTTTCCTGTTTATACTAGCTATGGAGGGATTTGATAGCATGATGAGGATAGCATTACAGAATAGATGGATTAAAGGGTTTGAGATAGGAGATAGTAGTATGTCACCTACAACAAATAGGTTACATCAGAATGATTTTGACTATTTTTGAAGCTTCTTCTGGCTTGAAAGTTAACTGGGGAAAAACCAGTTTGTTCCCGATAAAGGAGGTGCCAAATAGCCAAAATCTTGCAATCATTTTAGGGTGCAAAGTTGAAAAGATGCCAACTACATACCTTGGGATGCCACTGGGCAGTGAACACAAGGCAGGGGAAATTTGGGATGGAATATTAGAGAAAACTGAAAAAAGATTGGCTAGGTGGAAGGCACAGTACATATCACTAGGAGGGAGGCTCATCCTTATCAACTCTGTACTTGATGCACTTCCTACGTATGCAATGTCTCTATTTCCCATACCTCCCAAAGTTATGAAAAAGCTTGACAGACTTAGGAGGGATTTTCTGTGGCATGGTGGTAAAGAGGGTAAAGGATATAAACTAGTCAATTGGCTGACAACAATGCACAGTAGAGAACAAGGTGGTTTAGGCATCAGAAATCTGAGAGCAGAGAACAATAGTTTATTGATGAAATGGCTCTGGAGATGCAATATGGAGGATCATGCATTATGGAGGGAGGTAATTAGACACAAGTTTGGTGAACTCAACCCATGGTGCAATGTGAGCACTGATACTTATGGAGTTGGAGTATGGAAGACCATTAGAGCTCTATGGCCCAAATTGGAAAGAAACTTGCAGAAGAGAGTTGGAGATGGGAAAGGAATAAAATTCTGGAAGGATGCTTGGAAGGAGCAAAGTCCATTAATGGAGATTTTTCCAAACCTGTTTATTCTAAGCAACAACCCAGATGGCACCATTTATGATATGTGGAGTGCACAGGGATGGATCTTATTCTTCAGGAGATTGCTAAATGACTGGGAGATTGATTGAGTAGCCGATCTACTAAATAGGATTGATGATTTCAATGGCACTACTGCTGAACCAGATACATTAAGATGGAAACACAATATTGATGGGCAATTCTCTGTTGAAAGGGTTTATAAAATGGAAGAAAGGGTACAGTGTAGAGGGCAACCAAAAATATGGAGAAAATTACAGAATAGTCCATCCCCAACCAAGGTAAAATGCTTTACTTGGTTGGTGGTTAAAAGAGCATGCCTGACACAAGAAGTTTTGAAGAAAAAAGGGGCCATCATAGTTTCCAGGTGCTTCTTATGCAATGAGACAAATGAAACAAACAGTCATCTATTTTTGCACTGCACATTTACAGCACAACTTTGGTCTCTATTTCTCAACATAACAAAGACAAGCTGGACTATGCCGGAGCATACTGCAGATTTGCTTAGTTGCTGGATGAAAAGAGGAGGCAGCAAAAGTCAAAAGAAGTGGTGGAGGATCATCCCACAATGCATCTGGTGGACAGTTTGGAGAGAGAGAAATGGGAGGTGTTATGAAGATAGATCCAATTTCATCCAGAAAGTTAAATGGAATTGTATAATATCTTTCTACTTTTGGTGTAAAGAAGTAGGTTTAGAGGATATAGATCAGTTTGTAGATTTATTAAGATCTCTGTAAGTATCTTCTTTTCTAGTTGTTATTTTTTTGTTTATCTAACACTTTTTGATGGTGTCCAGCATGTCCTTAATGCTGAGTAATACACATTTACCATTTCAAAAAAAAAAAAAAAAAATCTTAAGCAGATAAATGACAATTCAAACAAAGATACAGTAACTCAAAAAAAAACTTCCAATATGATTTGAAAGTGTAATTAACAAGAAAAATGTAATGTTATGTTCATGCAGTGAAACAGCTCAGATTGGGGATTAAGCAAACAAGAAAGGGGAAAAAAAGAAATTTGCTTCTTCAACCCACTATGAATATCAGAGCAGTGGCATGCACAGTATATGCAAACTAACCACATTATGCAGGCAGTTTCAGTTAGGTGATATACTCTTATCAACAATTGAAGGCTCCACTCATTTAAAAGAGTTAAGGTCTTTTAGGTCAAAACTGAGAAGCAATACCTCGGAATCTCTTGAACCAAGCAAGCTTCTGTCATTTATATTTCCAGATCCAATCAAGGCTATGTGGTCATCAACTATCATGATCTTGCTATGCACATATATCTGAAGAAACAAAGTGTTAAAATATTGAGTGAATGTTTGTCTAGATTCAGACCAATCTAGATTTGTTGTACTTGAATAAGGATAATCAACAACAACATACCCCGTGAAATCCCACAAGTGGGGTCTGGGGAGGGTAGAATATACGCATACCTTACCAGTACCTCGTGGAGGTAGAGAGGTTGTTTCCAAAAGACCCTTAGTGAAAAAGGAAAATCATATAGAAAATTCTTTAGGACACATTGGATATTCCGTATTTAGTAAAGAATACTTATTAGCATAGGGATTAATTATCTACCATATTATGCATAGCGTAAGACTCCCCATAAAAAAAACATCTCTTGTACATTATTACAATTAAGTCAACGAGAAGCATTTCTATTTTTCATATGGCATTATAGCATCTACAATCTTGAGAGACTTGAATAGCTTCCACTACAAGCGGGTGGGGTACTTGCCAATGTGTGTTACCCATTGGGTCAACGTTTACTCCATTTGTTCTTCCTTCTGGTTTTCGACGCCATTCCTCTCTCGGGCAACAAATGCCCCCTACTCTCCGGACGGCCGGTCAGGCATCACTCCTCTCTCTAGGATCGTTAGAGCACCATTCATCTTTCTGGCGACCGGCTATGTTACTTTCTACGCAGCTGGCACCCTCTTCCAAATCTTGAATTCCTTATCACTACTTTGCCAACTCAAGTTACACTGATATCGTTCTGGAGATTTGCAACACCATATCATTGAATAGCTTCCATTTCGTGAATAGTGTAAGCAAGAAGCACTTTGCTTCATTGTGCAATTACCAATGACTTTTTGGAGGAAAGAATTCTAGCAAAACTTGTCTTCTGGTAATTGTGCACTATTCAGCGAGATTTCGCAGACAAATTTCTATAATTTTCATTTCAAAATAAACAAAGTCAAATTGGTGTCCCCACTTTGAGTTTGAGGGGGTATTTCAGAATATAAGTAAATGTATGTCCATTCATTGTCCTTGAACAAGGAAACTAATATAGAACATTTCACAGGATACCTTGGGATATTTTGTATTTAATTATAAAATACTTAAATACCTTATTAGCATAGGGATTGATTACCTACCATATCATGCATAGCCTAAGACTTCTATATAAGGAACACCTCTTATACGTTGTTAAATCAAGTCAATGAGAAGCTTTTCATATTCTCACACATTGGAACATACGCCCACCATCAATTGGATATATTTTTTTATAACCGTAGTGTCCGGGTCAGCTTGCACACCTCAACTAATTACATGAGATGCCTTCCACCTCCCACCGGCAACATAACTCTGTCCACCAGTGGCAGACCTACCCTTGGTCGGAAAATTACGTTGTATACTGTGGTCAAATTTTAGTTTAATAAATATAAATATATAAATTGAAACCTCTTGAAACAATTTGAAGGTTTAGTCTATTCGTTAGGGGCATGCAAACACTTCATGAGGTCATGTGTTCAAGCCCTACTAGCCTCATTATAATTTTTTTTACTATAATCATTGACACCCCTTAATAAAAATCCTGCGTCCGCCACTGCTGTCTACCAAGGACAATTGAGAAGAAATCACCTAGTGATTTTGTCATGGGATTTGAACTTGAGACTTTGTTATTGACTACTAAGTCACACCCTTGTATGCAAAGTTAAAAGAAAAAAACGAAAAATAAATTATCATTTTATATTCTAGCTGACGACACACTTTGATTTCAGATCTTTGGTTCCAACATTACATAAGTTCTTCTTCAAGGATAAGCAATAAGTGAAGACATTATTATGCAAAAGAACTACAAATTAAGGGGTCATTTGGTTACTGGATAAAGGAAAAGTTAATGTATTAATTTTTTACCATGTTTGGTTTGTAAATAGGATAAAAATTATATGTATTTATTTTATATGGCATTTGGTTGCATTTTTTATAGTCCTACATAATTAATACTTACATAAATTATAAGGGAAACTATGTATAATTTATGCGAGATAGAAGGTGGAATAAGTTATGTGGATATTAGTTATACATGTATTAAATTAGTAAATTACACATTTACCCCTATCAATTTACTTTTAAAACTTTCAACTCAATATTTTAGTCACTACAAAAAAGCTTTTTTATGTCACTACAGTAAAGCTTACCATTTTTAAAGATTCCCGTTTTCTCACTTTCTTTTGTTTTTTAATAATTCAATTATACAATATAATTTGATACTATTTTTTACTTATTTATTTGTAAATAATATATTATTTTACAACAAATTAAATATACAATAATCAATTTTATGGATTGCAATCTCTACATAACCAAACACTACATAAATAATACCTACAGAACTAATACCTACATAACTAACACCTGCATAACTAACACCTGCATAACTTATTCCTACATAACTAATACCTACATAACTTATTCCTACATAACTTATTCCTACATAACTCTAACCAGTAACCAAACAACCCCTAACTGGAAAGTGGAGTAGAGTAAGACCTAGTGTTGTAGTATGGGTGTGTTTAAGTAATAAGATGTCTAGCATGAAAGGCACTTTCTCCAAAGGTTTGTTGAACATCTAAATGTGTTTGTAGAGATTTTTATTAAAAACAACCACTTTGACCAAAGCTGAAAGATACCATTTCAAAAGCAGTTAGCCCACTTTCAAATTTCAACTAATTAAATTCAAATATTGTTTAATGGATGAAATGGAAAATTTTAATCCCAATCCATGTTGTAACATTATTTTAAATCATATAGTATAAAACAAAGTTTTGGAAGGGCTTGACAAAATTACCTTACCAAAAGCAAAAATAGACCAAAGTTATGTACAAAAAATTTTAGTAGTACTTTTCCTGAAAGCACCATTATAGAGATAACTTCTCCTAAAGAAACCAGAGTATAAAGGAGGCTGGCCTGAAATGTAAAAGCATCATGTAATTCCAGGCCAACAGATTTCTCTTGAACTAGTCTCGGATCTGTTTAGCAAACAATTCTGGCTTTTAATGTAAATCAAGTCAACACCCTACCGAAAAGGGGTCTTGACAGCATGGCAATAGCTATCTATGTGTCTTGAAGAATCTTGTTGTTACGTATGAGAAAAAACTATGCGTCTTGAAGAATCTTGTTCTTGATTTCCCCACTGTACAAGGCCTATCAAATGAGTAAATGCACACAGTACAAGGCTACAAGCCTTAGCCTTTATAACACTAAGAGGTCGTTTGGTACAAAGACTAATAACGCACGGATTAGTAATGCAGAGATTAGTAGTGCAGAGATTATTTTTTATCAAGTGTTTGGTTCATTGCTTCCCTCCTCATCTCGTGTTAGGATTAAAACTCGATAAAAAGCTTCTTTCCAATTATACCCTTGAATTATTATGTAATTGGGTCAAGGTAGATAATTGCCAGATAATATTAGTTTTGTATCATTTTCTAACTAGCAATGAGAAGAACAATTTTGTTGCCATGTTTGTTATTTTCTCACTTGAATTATTTGAGGGTAGATAATTGTCATCTTATCAGTTTTAATTTTAAAAAGATACATCGGCTACTTTTAAAATCGAAAAGATGGTAAACAATAGTTAAATCGAATAAACCATCTACATTTACACATAAAAAATGCAAGTTGTAGTTTTAATATGTATGCAATTTTATAAATTGTTCAAAATACAAATAATTAGAAAACCACATACATATATATCAACAAATAATTCATTCAATTAAGACCACAAACGTCATGTGGTGATATATTTGCCTTTTTAATTAGTAAATGTTAACCAACTCACATTTCAAATATTGTATTAATTTGAGATTTATTTAGCAACAAAAAACTCTCTCTAAATAATTTGTAAGTTAATTAATTTTAATAAATTTACTAGTACAATTATAAAACATAAAATCAAGAAAATAACAAAATGACAAATGAGTTGAGAGATATTTTTGTCTTTACATAGACTAATCCCATGGTATTAAATCTTATTATTACTAATACCACCAAATGGAAGGTATTAGTAATACATCCTATGATTCCATGTAGTGTGTATAACTAATCCATGAATTAGTTATACATAGGCCCAAAATTCCTATCAAACATAGTACTAAATAATACCATACATAATACATGGACTATTTCTCCTAATACTCCCTACCAAATGACCCCTAAGCAGCCGTTCTCAAGCCTTGACACATGACATAGAGGTGAAACTCATCCACACCATCCAGTTGTAAGTAAAGATTCAATACCAGCATAAAACCATAGAGAAGATAGAGTTAACATACAAGATGACACAACAGCCTAAACTTATAGAAAGATGTCCACTGACTATTAGGACATGAAAAGGGAAACCTTTAACAATTCATGGAGTATGTCGTAAAAATCAAGGACGAAGGATGGAAAATACCTGGCTAGTTGCAATAGGACCACCATCAAAGAGCCTTCCATAAGCTCTGAGACCATAAAATGATATATAGTCGTGCATTCTAGAGCCCATGAGGTCATTAAGATTATGCAATATTGAATTAGATCCTCTGCATATTGTTCGATATTGCCAATGCATAATAGCTCTAACTGAAGCAGCACCACTATCATCCAAACCACCCTGTTGTAACTTAATCCTTAGTGGAAAAATATAGACAAATATCCACAAGAAAAGATCTAGGTCAGTCTAGTAGTACTGTTACCTGGAAGCCAGGAAGAAGTGGAATCACAATGATAACCCTGAAGGACTTCTTTTCATTATAAGCTCGCATAATACGCCTGTACAGTGCTTCTAAAACACGATTTTTTATAATATCATCTCCAGATAGACCAGAAATGAAAAATTGATTCTGGACAAAAAAATTATTGGAGCTGTATCAGATATCAGATACATTGAATGGTTGCACAAAATCAGTAAATCAAGAATACAAACAAAATTAACTGGAATCAGTCTGGCAGAAGGTTCTAAGGTGGCAAACTATTCAGAAACAGGCATCAGGGTGGAATGAGGAGCAGAGATGGGCACAAGACCATTACAAAGGGAAATCACCAGAAGCTGAAATCTTTCGAATCACACTTGCAGCCAGTGTTCACTGCACCTGGCAGGAGAGGAACCATAGGATTTTTCAGAAGAAGTATAGAAGCTGTGACATTATAATTAAGAAGATTGTCCAAGAAGTCCATATCAGAGGGGGAATGAAGCCGAAATTGAGCACGAAACTATAGATGCTAGATTGGTAACCTATCAAATTAACTACTGGGTTATACGTGGTATTGGATATACTAAGCAATGGTTTGGGCTAGAGTATGATAGAATCTGGAAGTATACAGTTCTGGGAGATGTCCAGACTGTTTTTTTATTTGTAATTCTCACTTGGTAATAAAATCAGTTTATTTACCCCCCAAAAAAATTAACTGGAAATGAAAACTTTATCATTAAGAGAAAGAAATAGAAAGCAAAACTACAAAATTCATCATTGTTGCTCTAACACATCTTATTCAAAACTCAGTATCACTCTATAGGAATATGATAGTTGAGTCATCTTCCACATATTAAAACTTAAAAGTATATGTAATAACCCTAATTAAAGCATCAAGTAGTCAATAGACCTTTAAAGCAGATTTTTTTTTTAAATAGAAAAAGACCTTTCAATTATAAGGTTTTCTACCATAAAACGTATCCACAGTACTAGTTACAGAATGTAGTGTGGTAAATCATAAAGAATGGTTTCCAAACTATATATATGGCTTGCTAACCAGGCTATGTCCTAAAATGTACTTCCATTGCTTTCACAATCTGGAATTGATTACAATGACATTGATTATAGGACAGCCACCAACCCAGGCAAATTTACTGAAGAATAAGAGTCTAAAAGGCAAAACAGGAAGTCGTGTCATTAAGATATTTACGTATGAACTAAAAATTGCATAGTCCCCACAGTGAATAAATACTAACAATCATCAAAAGAAGTTAATTTTTCAAGTTTAAATAACACAACTTGAACGTCCATCAGACTACTACAGATGTCAAAATTTGAAGTTTCTCAATGAACAACTCCCAGGCTTGGACTGCAGGATTATCCAGAGGAATATGAAAAACCATCAACTTGATATACCGTCCACCCACAGGTGAAAACAGAGATGCAAGAAATGAGTACTTAAAACAGAAAGAGAAGTTCAGATTCATGCATAGATTCAACACTACAGTAAACTTGTGTTTTTTTTTGAGAAAAGGGTAACTTTGTATTCATAGAAAAAATTCATCATCCAAGAAATGATGAATTGGAACTTGTGTTAACTATTAAAGCACTACATCTTTGAGAAGACAACAATTAAAGCTTGCACAATATCAGAATATAAACAACTTCTGTTGTAGGCTAAAAGAAGAAAATGTTCAAACAAAACCCCTCCTGCTACTTTATAATTGGAAGGTTAAAACAATATCCTGCTTAAGACAACTTAGGGTGGAGAAGTGGTGCCAGTACTTCAACAGAGCCAAGCCTTTATAATTCACGTGATCCTGTTTTTAAGAGATTACTGCCAAACAACCATCTGCAAGCAAGGACTATTTTATGCTGGAAAAACAACAAACTAGACGTCCTAATTCAGCCAATGGGCGCTAGCTATATGACAGTTTCATCAAAGAGAACAGTATATTGTATACCTCTATGTAAACAAAATGTTCAGCCTTTTCGATAAGGGAGCAGTAAGCATTGTGTATGCTTTCTTCAATTTGACTAGTTCCAGCTGACCATTGACTGACACTCCTTATAATCTGAAAGCAAAGAGCTTATATCAACTATATGAAAATCAAAGACAGAATAAGATATAAAACATCACAAGCAATATAAGGGGGATTCAAACCAACGACAATTGAATATTCAATTTACACTATGGAAGCAAACCACAAACCTAAAAAAGCGCCATCCAATTTGCCTAAATTATATTTGTTACCACAAAGATTCAGAGAGATTATAAATATAAAGAAAAAAATATACATCCAAAGGCGCATAAAGCAAACTTCCAAAACGACGATGTTACAAAATATCAAGAGAAGATTATGACGAGAAGAATTTTAAATGTTATGACATCTGCATAGGCATGTTATTCAATTATTAACTAGTATGTGGTAGTCCCACATGAGGGTATATGAGCAGAGACTCCCATAGTCCAATTCACAACTCTTTAACATGAAGTGTTCCAATGTCATCCGCCTTTTAGCTTCCGAAAAAAGAGAAGATCTCCAAAAGTGATAAAACATGGATGCAGCTACGTATGCAGATGGACCGTTGCAGATAGATAGGTGACTCAAGCCTGTCCCAATCCTTACGGCATCAGTCAACTAAAAGAATTTTCATTCATTTCTAATAAAAATTTGACCAAAAAGTTTCTGCATATATACAAATAGATATTCTGTGAGTGTAGCCTTGTAAGGCATCAAAGTAAGGAAATACCTCTACCATTTCCATCATTTGTCGACCCACTAATAGGTATTTATGACATCAAAAGTTCAATAGTTCCATTATAATTTTTTTACAACCGAGAAATTCCCAAGGGCCAGTAGCGCATGGTACAAAACTTGGTGGATGATGGACCCGCCCTTCTACTCTTCTCCACTTAAAATACCATGCTATTGTCTGCGGCAAGGTTCAAAACTGTGACGTACACCTAACCTGCACATCAGGCGTTGCACTCATACCACTTAACCAAAGCCCTGGGGGCCAAGGTCAACAGTTGCAATATATCTCTCTAGGTTGACAAAACTTAGATTCCAGAGAAGTCTTTCTACCACTCAATTGTCTTTCTCAAGAAGAACCCAGAGTTGGACATGCCTACTTCTCTCAGTTATATGAATCATCAGCACTTGAGTTATAAAAACACTTCTATCTTCAACTAAAAAAAAGAGCTACAAAAGATATTTCAAATTGTGTACTTGGAAAAGCTGAAAGGTTTAAATCCACAGGGTTATTTTTTAAGGGACTATTAAGAGTTAAGACCACCTAAACATAAGGGGCCATTTTTTGCCATTTTCTCATACAGTCAGCTAAAAATATACAGAGAACTTTTTTAAACAAAAAAATCATGAGATTCCTCTTCCAGCATAATACACCATCAACTAATTTTTGGTGACTTTTAAAATCAACTTTATTGGCACTTGGAAGTTTCAGTTTTTAGCGGGTTAAACAGTGGATATGTGGATTTTGAAAGAGAGAACATCAGAGATCAACAAAAATTAGAAGCTTGAAAAAACTGAATAAATTGGCGCGTATAGAGATGTAGGCATGGGATGATTATAACTCACCTGGCAACGACATGAAACACGAGGACCAACTTGCCCATTTTCTTCAGGTGAAACAACTTGATTGCCTCTCTCTTGTTTCTCCCACCAATCCTTGTCCAACTTCTTCATGCCAGGCTGCACCAGATTTGAAGATAGCTCCAGATTTTGATCCAACTCGTCCACAAATCCTTTCATTGGCAAATCTGGAGCTAGAGGTTCTACACGGGTCTTCCGGAAAGAGAAAGGGATTCTGCTAGGCCTGCTACGCTGATCATGAAAACCATGCCCGGTATGGAAACCATTTATTTTTAGTTCTTCCTTGAAACTTTCCCCCCCTTCAGCTTCCTGAGGTATAAGCAAAGGAATATCTTGGGAAGAAGACCCTGAAGAAAATGAATCGCGTCTTTTGATATTTTTATGAGGACGCGCAACACCATTACTTCCATTGTCCATCTCACTGCTCATTCCCATGTAATGAGGAATAACCATGTGATGCTGAGGCATAAGCAGCGGAATTGCTTGCTCACGTGGAGCTTTGTTCCTCTGAGGAATTATAGAAAATGTCAATATGACAATACAATCATATCAGTGAAAGAAAAATATGTTTACAACAAACATGAACCTTTGCATAATTCCAGCGTTGAACAAAGTGTCGAGCAGCATCACGGCACGGCGGTCCCCAGAGAGCACAATGGACATCATGCCATGGCATACGTGGATACTTTTTCCGATCTAATTCATCCTTCATGGTATCTTCCCAGGAATTTGGTTCAGATTCCCTGAATGTTGTATTACATGAGCAACTAGCAAATTTACAAACAGAAGAAAGAGCTGGACTACCCAGATGATCAACTTTTTTTTGAGGACTCTGATAACCTATCAGTTTGGTTCTTAAAGGAAAAGATGTTAAGAATGAATATGAGAAACTCATCGACTAGATTTTGAAATGGGAAAACTCATTTATCTAAAAGAATCAACTAACCATACAGTTTTCATCACCTATCATAGAGTCTAGAGCAGTATAGTGTTGACCTAGACCGGAAAAGGAATCACCAAAAATATGTTCACCCTTGTAGTTCTTGCCATATGTTGTTTATTGAGTTTTGATTATCGTACTATTTTGCTGCTGCTATTGTTTCTTTCTTGTAAACTTTTTACACTGATTTTCAAAATAACGGCTATGCTTTCTTCATTATTTTCTTCTTATTTTACTTTGATTTGATGCACTTGAGCCGAGGGTCTTTCAAACACAGCCTCTCTACCTCTACGAGGTAGTGGTAAGGTCTGCGTATACTCTACCCTCCCCAGACCCCACTTAGTGGGATTCACTGGGTATGTTGTTGTTGTTGTGTGAATTGTATCTCATACCTATTTGTAGGTGTGTCTTGTATTCTATTCATCAAGTTAATTGTTCGCTTCCTTCTCTTAGTTTCTCACATGACATTGGAACCTCTATGACTTCATAAAGCTTATGGTGATCAAAACTTTTCTCTCGTGTATTAAGCGACAATATTAGCACAATCTTCCGATGAGTTTATCTTCTTGAGTTCTTCAAAATATAAAGAAACAAGATAGTTTCCTTTCCCCAACTTGAGTTTAAGGGGAGGGAGGTGTTAGAATGTTGGCATATTGGTGTGTTAGAGCTAATGTTAAATTACTCCCTCATTGAATGAATATAAGATGTGAATTGTATCTCACACTTATATTGAGTTTCCCCTTGCATTCCATTGTCAAGTTATCTATTTATTCTCTTCCAGACCGTTATGTTTGTCATACAACCATCTCTTTTTGCTGTTGATTACACAGGTATAGAGGTTATACTTCATTTCTCTATGTCTAAGTCAGAAAAAGATACCAGACTGCAGGCCATCTGAACGAAGGGACCAAATGAATTAAATTATACTGCTGTCAGTAGTTACAGAGTAGTTCAACATTTTTCCTAAGCTTATATGAGCTATAACTACAAGTATTTCAGAATATTTATGCAAGAATGTTTTAATTATGTGCACCTGGAAACAATCAATATACTAAGGGCAATCTTACCATTTTAGTATAACCACACAAAAATTTATTATGCCTTAAAATATAATGGAATTCACACATTGCTTAGGATTCTCACATTTGATTATTTATGATTCAAAGTAGGATATGACTAGTTCGAAACAAAATGAAAATACAGTTCTCATAAAAAGTTAGTGCGTAGAACACCTTGGATTATAGTAATCTTTTCCAGGCCATATAAGAGGTGGACAATCACCCACTTTGTGTTCAGGTGAGTCATAACGGCCAAAGCACAAGTCCAGTCCTCCGATAAAGCAAATCTGATGGTCAACAATGACAATTTTTTCATGATGGGACCTATATGTAACCATACATAGCCATTAGTTGTAAATAGAGTAGCTAAAATTGCCAATAAGAATAACGAAACAAGGCAATAAGTACGTTCAGGGAACACATACCATAGATACACACCACTTGAGAAATGATCTGGATAACGCAGCACTCTGACATTCTCATGGATGCCTACCAGCTTTCTCTTGCTATACACACTGTTGATTTTTAACGCAATAGCAACCTCTTTGTACAGAAGGATGTAGATCTGCATTTGAAAATGAGCTAAAGCTTTTCACTTCAATTATCAGAGGAAAACAAGCCATCACACGGAAAACAGACGAAAAATCCAGTGCTTTACCAATGCATTCAATGGATTAATAAGAATTGCCACCTAATTTCGGAAAATACAGACCTCGATTAAGTGACCTGCAGCAATCGCCACACAAGATTTTACAAAATACTTGTGCTAAAAATATTTGAGATGACACAGGTTTGACAGGCTATTTACCAAAACCTAGGAAATGAAGCAACTGCCCTCCAACACCCCACCCCACCCCCCACCCCCCACCCAACCCAAAAGGGGAGGAGGGCAAGAAAAGAGAAAGACCACAGCACTATCAAAACCACAGAGGTAACTACACATTTATAAATAACTGCAAAATCTTAAGCACTTGGGATGGGGTAGGAGTAACCAATCTGTTTGCAAAAGAGAACTGGCACACCATGTGGTAGCACTCGTAAATAAACCACTTCAAAAAGCTGAATTCTGGCAGGACTGGTACATTAACAAGATGGATACTGGTCATAATCAGTACATCACACAGACACACCAATGAGTTTATGAAAAGAAAAGAGAACTCTGATTTACAAGTTCAAATATTTCTTACAGTGGAATTGTAGAACCTTTCTCTCTAAAAGCACATAACCTTACTATAGATTAAGAAGGATAACTCATAAGAGCAAAACCAAACGACAAGAATTTCTCTCCATTTCATACTAGATATTAAACAATCAGAACCTAATGAATGATTTAGACAAGCTTAATCACTAACCTGAACACCTTGTTTTGCTTTGGCTTCCAGTAAAGCATCAAGCCGGAAGGATGCATTAGTGTGAAAGGGACGTCGCATATAAAGTTCGGGGCACAGCCACCAGCCACATATAAAGATCTGTAAAAACATTGAATGACCCAAATCCTTTCTAACTTTGAACATTATGTAGATAAAAATTGACTTCTGTAACAAATGCAAACTTAAACGCAGACCTCTGACTTTGCTTCTTCAATAGCCAAAGCTATAGCTTCAAATGCTGATTCACCATCAACAAACCACTGAGCCTGACTGCCATCCTCTGTCAAACCCCTAGGAGGAGCATAAGAACCAAAGCGGTGAGGATGACACCATCCTTCAGGTGGCCTAAGCCCTGCATCATTAATTGCTGCTACCCAATCTTTAACCTTTGCATCGCTTTTGGTCCTCAGTTTGATACACCTTGAACCACAAGACACCTAAGAAAAACTTATGTTGTAATACACAAGTAGGAATCCCAGGCATATTTAACTAGTATAATTTACTAAATATAAGATCTCAATGACTCTAGAGGAATTGGCTGAACTTCTACACTAAAGAATACAAACCAGAATTCTTCAAAAGCATCATAGTTTCATAAACTGCTTACCCTAAAATAGTGGCGTAAAGGGTTTCCATCTTTTATTTCTTTTGCTAAAGAAACGCGACCCTCTCCATTGCCATCGGAGGCTGGTAGTACATCAAACACTATTATATCTAACGGCTCAGGGTCACATGGATCTTTGAGGAAAGCCAAGAATCCAGGTTTCAGTACAGCCCAGACCTGAAATGAATCCAACCAAGAATCAAACAGAATCTTTATATCAAATTTAGACAATTACTCAAAGCCCTAGAAGATTGAAAACATAACTTGATATTAGAACAAGGCAAAAATCCTAAGTCATACATAAAACTTGAAAGATTCAGATAAAATCCAAAAAACACACCCTTTCTAACAGCAAAAAGTATACATTAGACTAACCAGCATAAAGAGGAAACGTCGATTCACACTAACAAGAACAAGGTTGAAAAGGAGCACATCAAACTGCACTAATCTTTTTCCAGCTAATGCTCAAATTAGATGTCAAAATCAATTACCACAGTCCACAGACCATACCAGTTCCTTAAGCCATGCCCAGAGTTCAAATATAACACGGAAAGGACTTCAGTCCATCCACTAGTCCCTTAAACCATGGCCAGAGTTCAAATATAACATGGAAAGGACACAAACCAAAAGAATTGTGCCAATAACAACAGACAAGAACTTCCCTTATAGAGTAAAGAAATATGCTCTACTCGAAAACCTCAGGCCTAAAGGATACAAGTAGCTTTGGCGTTGTTTCAAAACCAAGCATAGAATCAAACTATAAATTACCTAGATCTCCACTTAGAAATTTCAAGAAAGTTGCCTCATCAATGATTTTGCAATTTAAGAGACAAAACTGCTACTCTAGACGAAGTGAAGGCTACTATTGCAGAATCATCTATATTTTAGTCATTAACGCCAAGAGATACAGGAATCAGTAGACAGCTCCAAAGAAATTTGAAGCTTTCATGCTCTATGACAATATAGTGCTTCAGACAACCCTTTGTAATAAACTTCGACATAAAAAGTAAAATCTGGAAAACATTTATTATGAAAAAAGAGAGTAAATTCTGGAAAATATATAAAGAACTCTCAATTTTCACTAAGTGATTATCGTGCCCTAAGTTCTTTGCAGGTAACAAATAATCCGACAAATGGACAGCTGAGAGGCTGAGTAGATATGTGTAACCATCTTAAAACCAGAGAACCGTATACATATGAACCAGAAAGTATAGCTACCTTCTGCCAGTTGTCTTTGCAGCAACCGAACCACTGGCATGAACAACATTTCCGACTATCATCGTCCCTTTGAATTTTTGGTAAGTGCTTCACCATAATATAGTCTTCTTTTAGCTTAGGACCATACTCGGGCGAAAAGGATAATCTTGAAACTTCCAGAAACCTGCATACCTGCAATTTAGTTCCAGTTAAATAAGATGTTGCCAAGTGTCTATTCATGTTTGCTATCACACTTGACATTATATAATTTGGGGAAAGTATTTTTAGCATTAACACATTGATTAAGAAGACAACTGTTGAGCTATCTTCAAGTATAAAACCAAGGTACACTAATACAAGTATATGTTACACATCTCTGGATAGAGAATGTAAGTGTTAAACCACCAGTTGATATCAATTAGTTGGGTTCTATATTTTAGATATTACCCTTAGAAGAGTGAAAACATTCTCCCTAGAAATAAAACTTCAAGATTCAAACCACTATTGGGAACTTGAATATAAGATTCGTTTACAAACACACATCGCACTTTTGATGGAGGAGCACACATGGCACCTCAACACAAATATATTAACTCTTATTTATTACAAATGTACATGATGAACAACTTTTTTTGGTATTGTGCAAAGCAAATGAAAATGTCTTCTTTTCTGTTCTAGCTGATTTGTGTCACTTTACAAGTACCATCTAAATTCCTAGCAGACTATACAAGAAGGCAGAGCAATGAAGGTTCTTGGACATTGATTAGATGGAAAAGTCAGGGAGGTTCGTTCTCCGGCATTTATTTTTCATAAATAAGGGAATCCAGTCCTTCTAACTACATTTTGAAGTTTGTTTCATAGAGATGCAATTATGTAAACACAAAAACATCCACTAAGCAGGGAAATATACTTACCAACTAGAATTATTTTATTTAGAAAAAGAAATCTAATCAGGAAAGGCATCTTGAGAGGTGAGTGAAGTCCAGGAACTAGACATCAGGCTAAATGTCATTCCCGGGAGAACTCAGTAGAGTGAGGCAAAAGTGAAAGGTAGTACTAAGAAACATCTGGTGACCTCAACATATGGCAAAGGGAAAAGTGAAAGGTGGTACTAAGTAACATCTGGTGATCTCAACCAATGGCTAAGGCAAAGAAAAAAGAGTTGCAAAGGATTCTTTGAGTAAAAACAGCAAAGAAAAGCAAGAGTTAAACCACTTCAAGATACCTCCTGGGAATTGACAATATCTATATTTCCAAGAAAGTGATTCAAGTAACCCTGCATAGCATTTTTTGCTCGATCTGACATTGAATGTTGCCTTCCGAGGGTTGGCCGAATTATTGGCAAAGCAGCACTAGACGGAACATCTCTGAACAAAAAACCACCTGTAAGAACGATAACTATTATAACAGGAATAGATGTAATTAGTGCTTCCCTTTTATCATGAAAACTGGTTCTAGTTGAAGAAGCACCTGTTTTTGGCACTTTCCTCAGCACGCAGAGGACTAGCCTCATCATCAGGTTCATCCTCATCTTGCATTACAGTTGTATGATCTCCTATCCCCAAGTTTTGAAGCCAATCTTTGACCTTTAAAAGAGTATGTCAGACAGAATGTCATAAAAAGTGCACCATACACAGTCGTCAAATCAAAATCGTGCTGCTGCCAAATGCACCAATCAACTAAACAATATGGAACCAACAATATTTCACAGGAAAAGCCCAATATACCTGCTCTTGCTTCTCATGAATCTCCTCAATGAATGCACGCTTTTTTAATGCAAAATGTAAATAAATTACATGCGAAGCTTTCTTCACCAATTGCCACTTGAACTACAAGAAAAAAGAAATGAAAAAAATGTGGCACTGTTAGACAAGAGTGCCTCAACTGCAAGAGAGGGAGGGACAAATATTTCAGGGAATAAGGTCTTTCTAGAAGGAGACCAAGACAAATACATGATTTTGAATGGAGGATCACAACTCCATGAACACAAAATAAGTCTATCATTCTCAAGAACAACCAAATGGTGTTGGTCTTTGAGCTTCAAATAACAAATGAATTCTTACCAACCTTCTACACTTTAATGTTAAAACTTCCCGAGTTAAATTGTTCATGTCATTTATAACTCAGAATAGATAATGTAAGGGACATTGATGTCAAATTTACTTATGTGCAATGATCTCTAGTACCAAAAGCAAACCTACGTGCAATAATCTCTAGTACCAAAAGCAAACCTTTTCAGTGAGAACGACTACAACAAAAACAAATACTACATCTCAAACCCAAACTAGTTCGACTCGGCTATATACATACTCTATATCCGTCTCTTGCTTACTCACAATACCGTTCGCATTGCAAATTTTGTTCTTTCTGACCTAAACTTGACATCGTTTGGTTTAGAAATTTGAATTTCCATTAGTAATCAAGACAACGATTTATTAACAGCCAAAATTCCTTTCACAAAGTCAAAAAAGGCTAAAAACAATCAACCGAAATCACCTAACCATATAATTCACATATCCAAAATTCATTTCAGCTTCTTCCTTTAGTAAAAAATTCCACATTTATCGTCCAATTATAATTCCAAAATACAATTATTCACTAACAAATCTATTTGAATTAACCTAATTGCAAATCAAAAAAAAAAAGTTGTACGGAGTGAAGAATAGTACCTGCTTATATTGGACTTCAATGGTATAAGTTAAAAGCATGGGGCTGATGTCACCGGCGTCGGATCGAGATACCTGTATAATCGCAGCCTGAGGCAACTCATCGAAAATTCGAGTTGCAGTATCCTGATGAGAGGAGTATAAGGACGACAAGGTAGAAGCCTCCGGCTCCGGTTCCGATTGCATCTGGACGTAACGTGGTCCATCGCCGATCGTCAACTGCTCCATTTGGTATGATCGGAAAACAAATAATTATGTGTATATGTGATCGGAGATCTAAACTAGATAGAGAGAATTGATATTGATATTGATAATGATAATATGATTCATCTAGTTTTTGTAGAGAGAAGGAAGATAGAAGGTGAGAAACGGAATTTGTATTTGATTCATTCAAGCTTCAAACCAAAAATGGGTCATTTTTTTCTTTTTTCACTTTACCCTTTGTTTGTTTTATTTAAACTTCTATTAATTAATGGAATATCTAGCTAGTCCGAATTATAATACGGTTTGACGAATAAATATGCTTTCTTTTTGGGTTACGTAATTAATTAACCTATAAATACGACGGAATTCTAGAAAACTTGGTTATTACTTATTAGTCATCATATTAATTAATTAATAGTGCCAACTACGTACTGCCAAGTGCAAATACAGCACTACTAATCTGTCATATAAATTTTACTCATTTTGTACAAAGATTAATTAACGTTCTAAATATGAATTCATTTAACAGTAAATTAGAGTTTTTGGCCAAAAACAATCTTAAATTATACATCAAACTTAAACTACATCGTTAAAGTATCATTCTTAGTAGAAAACATTCTCCAAGTATTTAAAAGTGAACAATTTTCATCCTTCTATTAGATATCATCAAAAAACTAATCGATCCTACAACAATATGAGCAGTTCACGTGATTATCAACAAAAGTTTTCCTGCCTAATTTTATTACCTGCTATAGGAAGTTCCAGAAAAAAATATTAAATTTTTTAAACATCATTGCTTACTGAAACAAAAAATGTTTGGAAGATATGAGGATATATGATATGATTTTTTTCTCATTTTGTAACGGAACAAAGCTGGAGCTTAATTATCTTTACCTTTTTCAAAGAAAAACTGTATTTAGATCAATAAAAATTTTGGCCAATCTGATATTGAAGTGATCAAAATATTGATTGCCGCATTTGAGTCTCATCATACATTATTAGAAGCAGAAGTCTCCAACAAACGACACTTCTAGCATATTCAATTGAGAAGAAACATATTGATTCCAAATAGAAAAACTTCAATCATTTTTTTTGTTTGAAAGTAGAAAAAAATAGGCAATATCGGTACCTAAATATTCAACTAATAATATTTTTAATATCAAATTACATGAAAAGTAAATGATAAAACTGTCAAATTAAAAGATTTTGCATGATGCTAAACTCAATTACCGAAAAAGTTAACGATAGTATTTTTGGTGTATCCAAAAATAATAATTATGAAGGAATGACTTGATTTTTCTGGGATATGTTAGTTTTCAGATAAATTCAAATAGAATGATGGAAATTGTTCACTTTAAATACTTGAAGGATGTTTTTTGCTAAGAATGATTCTTTAAGGATGTATTTTAAGTTTGGATTATAGTTTAAAGATGAATTTGACCAAAAACTCCGGTAAATTACGCAAAATGTCAGCTCATAAACTTTACTAACTATCTTAATAGCTCAATTTACAATTTTTATAGGGAAAAGGGTTAAAAATACCCCTCAACTTTGGTTTATTAGTTGACTATGCCCTTACCGTTAAAACGAAGTTAATTTTACTTCTGTCGTTATTAATTTCATCATTTGTACCCCTCAATTGACGGAAATTCCCAAATTGACTCAAATCAACCCGAATTTCTTAAAAAGACCTATTCCCATTTTAAACCCAATGCCCCGACCCCTCTATGGTATAACCCGTCAACTAATAACACAAACCCCTCTCTTCTCCTTCTCTTTCTCTCTTCAACTTGTGCACATATCCGAGAAAAAGCTTAGAACGATAACAATGACTTTTTCTTACTCCATCAAAAAGTTCACATGATAACCCAAATCGTCAGCCTCAAACAAGTCGTCAAACATAACTCTCTTCGTCCTCATTCTGTTCTTTCTTCGATTCCGACAAACCGGCGCAAATCGATTTGAACCCCTATTTCTAAATTAATTCATGGGGCATTTATTTTCTCAGCTAATTGAAAGAAAAAAAATGTCCTCCGTTTATAGTTTGGCTCAAATATGCCTTTGTCATCAATACTTTGGTTCAGAAATGTCCTTGCAGTCAATACTTTGGTCCAAAAATGCCTCCATAGTTACAAAATGGGTCAAAAATGCCCTTTTTCGAATAAATATATTATATTTTCCTTTTTAAACACATCTTCCTAATTAAAATATTATTAAAGACACTATTCTTGTTTTCTTTCTTTTAAAATCACTTTAACAAATAAAAATGTAGGAAATATTTTTTTTCCTCTTAATCTCATTTTATCAATTAAAATATAATAACTTCATGTACCCTTTCGATAGATAATATATTGGCATATATATAAGCATAGTAAATCTATCATTAATTTATATTTATATAACGATAAAAAATAATGATAATAAAATAAGTAATATTTTCATTTTTTATTATTTTTTTCTGAATTGAAGTAAGATAAACATTTGCTAATTTATTAAACAAAAAAAAATAAAAACATTTGCTAATTTGATCATTTTCCCTTTAAAAATTTGTCTGGTCTTCTTTATTGCAACTAAAGTGCAAGTCCAATTCATTTGCTGGCATCTGCGTTTTCTTCTTCTACGTTTTGTGGTCGTCCTCCTCCTCCGCCTCCTCTGCTTCTTCTGCATCTTTTTCTTCTTCTTTGTTGCTTCGACATATCACAAACGTGAATCGTTTCAAGCGAACTATATATCAAATGATTCACAATATCGAGAAGATTTCATATCTAAAATTTGGGACGGTTTAGAGGTGATTTTAAATTGATCAACGTTAAATAGTCAATGCATACTTCATGTATAATTAAGCTATTTTCAATTTTTTGAGTGTACCATATACGGTACAGTGTATAGCTCATAGTATATAGGTAAGTTGTATTGTATAATCAATGTATACTTCCTATGATTTTTGTATAGTCTAAAACATAGTTATATTTATTAATAACTAATTATATTATTGTATATTTTTAAAATAGCATGTTTAAAGCAAATAATCATATTTAACTGAAAGTAACTAAAAATTACTTTTTAATTCAAACCATTGTTCCACAAGTTCGAATGCAAATTATTTAATACTATTACGTATTCTTTCCGTCCAACAATAGTTGTCTATTATACTATTTTGGAATGTCTTGCAATATTTGTCACCTTTATGAAATCAATGGACAATTTTACACTTAATTTCTAACCTTTGTCATTAATTATAGTCATTTCTCTATTATATTTTTTAAAACATTGTATTTATTTATAATTTCTTAAGAAATGTGTCAAGTCAATAGTGGTCACCTATTATTGGATAGAGGAAATAATAATGTGCAAGAAAGTCATATTTCTTGTGACGTGTGAGAGAGAACAATACATTAAACATGAATTGAAAAAAACTAATTAATGAAATTGAGTGGCGTGTAAGCCTTCAATTTTTTACTACAATTAAGAGTTGGAATGAACACAAATTAAGTTTCAATAAGGAAAAAAAGACTTACGTTTCTGATGTTTCACGCAAAGAGAAAAAATAAATGTACTACTAGTCTAGGGGTGTTCATCGATTAAATCTTTATTTAGTTTGGTTTTATATTTTTTAAAATCGATAATATTTGGTTTGATTTTAATTTTATTTTAAAAAATAAAGAAATAATTGAACTGAACCAATAAATTATATAAGTATTTTTTATAATTATATATACGTAACATATTGTTTTTATGCAAAAACGGCAGCACACTAAATTAAATTGTTGAATAATGTGAAAATTGCAGCATTTAGTGGGCACTTCACGTGCTTTAAAATCCTTCTTGAAGTGTTAATGTGAATCCCGGCCGAACCCCTTTTTGGTATTTCAATTGATTTTCTGTTTTGAATCTTCTAAAACTCTTGTAGTTTTCTTTTTTTTTTAAAAAAATTAAGTGACAACTCTTTTTTAAATAAAATAATTTCTAAAACAATCTCTCTTTCTGGCAAATCATAGAAATCAAACATAAATTACATGCATCAAGTTATTTACCCACTTCAATTGATCTCTTTCGAGCATCAATCGAACATCTAGACTACGATTAAGTTTGCAACCTTAACCTATGAATTAACCCCATGCTAAAAAGGTTTTATGTTTATCAGTGTAGTTAATAATGTTGTTCTGTACTAGTACTAGATATATTTATCACCTTTCCAGGTTCCCCATCCACGTTAATTAGAAAACAAAAAAAAAAAAATACCTAAATACATGGATGAACATCAATAAAATAGAGCAAAGCACAAGACCCACTACATTAAATCAACACCCAACCCCATAATCACACCTTTAGAGTTGGAGTTTTAGCCACACATCACAAAAAGCAAAGAAATTATACCTATGATGTTACCAACCATCAATTGTGTAGAAATTAAGCAATCTTCAACACCCACTTCGATTTCAATCCTCAATTGTCAATTACAAGAGTGTTTGAAAACCTCAAAACTGAGAAAATAGTATTTTTTTTTTCAATATCCAAAAATTAACTATGAAATTAGAGAAAAGATTTATGTTCTAGATCTCATATATATTTTCTCTCACTTTTGGGCTATTTATAGTTTCCCCAAAATTAGCTCAAAATTTCATGTGCTAACCGTTCGGTGATATTAGTCGGGCTCGCCTAACACATTTGGCAGATCGTCGTTCACTCTTTAGCTCGCCCTTCTTTTGCTTCAGGCTTCAGGTGTTTGAATTGCTAATACATGCATAGTTAATTCCTATTAATACTTGAACAACTCTTATCAACTAAGGGATCGTTTAGTAAAATGTATTAGAAAATCTAATACATGTATTAGTCAAGGTATTATTCAATGCTTTGTTTGGTAGGATTTTCAACTTATATAATATTTTTTTCAGTATTATAGGGTGTATAATTAATAAATAGCAATCATGGTATTAGGGCATTCCCAATTCATAACACCAAATTTTACACTAAAATGGTGTCAACACTATTTGGTATTCACACCAAATTTAATGTGATACTATTCACACACTAAAATAGTGTTAGGTTGGAGATGGTCTTAGCAATACAAGACTAATTACATGAATAAGC